GAGAAGTGATTTTCTATTAAAATTACGTGATCAACTCTCGACCATAATTCCGGTAAAAGCAGGTCGATTGGCTCCCAGAGAAAAATATCAGATGTCGACCGGTACCGCCGATTCGCAGGCCCTATTCTCTTTTGAAGTGCTGCCGGCTTCGGATTCTGCCGAGCCCAGTGTTTCGAGTGTCACCAACGACCTAAACATCTTAATAAAAAACAAATGGATTACTGCCGTTTCCCAAAACAATTACTCCTTGATGTTGGATGAAACCTATGGGTTCCGGGAGACAGGTAATCTCTCTCAAAATTTTTACGAGTGTACCAAGGTAGAGTGGAATCCTAACTGCACCCGATTAATTACCTTTCAACACCAGAGCTTCCATGGGAAACATACAAACTGCAATTAATCGCTGCCGGGGCAATTTTGGCGATTCTGATATTAATATTTGTACAAGTGCAAATAAAATATTACGACGTAAATATACTCAAATTACTTATAATCGTTACATTCACTGATTATTTGTCATGCTTACTGACTGTTTGCCGATTATTTGGTCACACTTCAGCGGGGAAACAACCTACTTATTCTCCGTATCACGTTGTTGATTTTCGATTTTTGCATAGATCTCGTGTTCCTTTTAAGAAATGGTCGTGCAATTGAAAGTCTTTGGATTCCCTCGTAAGTCCACTCCAAAGCATCGCATTTCAGCAATTTAACGTTCTAATATTTTCACAGTCTAATTTTCTTCGTAGTGCCAAAAGTCGCGAATGTGATCTTATCAGCCTTGATTGTTCTCCGAGAGTTCTATAAAAATTCGTTATTCCACTCGTGGTTCACAGAGTTCCCTCAAGTTTTAATGATCATTGCTCCACTATCTCCTGTTCGCGTCGAATGCTTGAAAATAATCAACTCCAAGGTCGCAAAATTGGAAATTCTGAACGCGCCATTCTCTCTGAAAGCCGAATATCTGATATTCTGGTCTACCATTTCTATACTTTTCATCGAAGACATACCACAACTTACAATTCAGGTACGAATTTCTTTCGTTTTTGCATTTTCGATGCAATACCATTTGTTGATGACAACTTCTGAAAAAATAAACAAAATAGATATTATACCTGACTTTGGCGATTGAATACGACATAGTCTCACTGTTAACCTTGGCATCGTGCATCATAACAATATTACAAACTATGCTGATGGCATTGTATAGAACGATCCGAAGCAGAAAGCAAATATGCATAATAGAAAAACTCGGGGAAGACGAGAAAAGTTTGGACACCAGGTCGCATCCGTCCGATGAATCTACGCAGACCGCGTCTAATTCAAAGCTAGGAAAAACAAGTATTAACAAATTTGGTCACGCGATGATGACTGTCGAATGCGAATCGGACACGTACGTGCCGGAACACATGTCACAATCGGATGGAACGACGTCAAGACTCCTGAGGAGGGGTGGGTCGTGCAACGATTTTTTATATCACCCGTGTGAGGTGCAGGGAATGATCATACAACCGAGGCCAAAAAGTTGGGATGACATTGTGAGGAATAATGGAGAGTTTGAGGACGACGAGACGGTAGTTATCAAAGAAAATGAGAGCATAAAGAAAGTTTCTGTGATCGAGAACAATGAGGGTGCGCACAATGAACAAACGGGCATTGTTATTACTGTTGGAAGCTATGGCGATGCTGTAATACCGGAAATAAGTGAAAACGAGAATCCAAAGTTAGATACCTAAAAATAGTCATAAAAAACGAGCGAATTTGAGAAGAGTTTGGTAGCAAAGGGTGTGGCGTAATTTAGAGAACAATAGTTTCGAAAAACTCTTATTTTTCATTCCCAGCACATGATAAAGCAAAAAAAAAGAATGAAAAAAAAAAAAAACCAAACCAGAATTTCTTTATTTGTTTACAAACGGTCGAGGTTGATTATAACATAACGGCTGAACCTCGGGATTCGATTCGATCCTTTCTCGGTTAGATCATTTCAAAAAGGGAATTGTTGTAGAACTGTAAAAGGCGTTTTCTTTACGAGTACCGTGCTTTAAAAGAAATGTGCGTACGTACCTAGGCACATACATACTGTACCTCGTACGTGTGTACCACCAAATAGAACTATTTTTTTTTGTCGTTGTCGATCTAGTAAAAAACTTAAACTCCATTCCAATAAGTCTCGATTAATTCAAAATTCAAGATAGCATAGGAACAGCGGTTTCCTCAACCTTTGCTTCAATAAAACTTAATTCGTATTAATGCAATGTTTGCTTTGATAAAAATAAAGGTCTAAAGTTAACTTTTTGTTAATTATATATTAAAAATGTAAATCACTTCCGAAAGATCGGCAGTATAATAATAAGGTTCTTCGCGTAGGGAACGTGTGTCAACAACGCATTGTAAATTTTCCATTTGCAAATTTGAGTCGAGCTCACGCCGTAAAATAAGCGGCGAACTGGTATATTATGATTCGTTCCCAATTAACAAAGGGAATCTGTAAAAAGCTTTCCCAGTATAAATTATCACAACGCGATCTTTAGTTATTTTTCCATTGCGACGTGTCATTTAGAAATTTTTATTTTCTCCCGCGAATGTCAATATCGCGATTGTCTACCATCACCTGCTGCTTGCGTACATACAAACATAACATACATTAATACACAAGCGCGAGAAAGGCAAATGTAAATATATAAGTATATGTACAGTGCACCAAACTAATTATCTCGGTGTCGTTTGAAATACGTTGTTTTCTATACAATTCTATGTCTAAATTTCGGGGTGAACACAAGACGGAAAGTTCTTTTTGAAGAATCGACAATTCCTTCTCCTCAAAAACACCCGACCAAATTTCTTACGCCCAGCCATCAGAATCTAGTTTCATCGAGGTTACCTAAATTCATGGTTTAACCAGACGAAAAATGTGAATTAAACAAATGGAATCATCAAATTTTCAGCACTCCGCAAAAAAGGGGCGGGGGGGGGGGGGCTCACCATAAAAAGGAGTATATATGGACTTTGCTTCTCCAACTACTGGAATTGTGAACTTCAGTCTCTCGTGATCTATGGAATTTAATGGGAATCTGACCTCCTTTACACATTCATCATGATCCTTCGAATATTTGGCAATAATTTCCAAATGTGCATCGGTGATGATAGTTTGGTACAGTGTCAACATCCTGATCTTTCCGTCAAATTCATTTAGTAAAACATTCAGGCTCATGACTGTGATGGATACATGAAGTCCTAGCGTGTGTAGGGTAGGTGGAAGTGAAATTGCTAATTTTTGAACAATGTACGCGGGAATGATATCGAAATCCGGAAGAATTTTCAACACGAAATTTTCCAATTTCACTAGCTTTGATAGAAGGCAAAAAAGTTCGCCAAAATTTTCACCTTGAATGGCTAACGACAGATGGGTGATGTGTGGGCAATAGTTTTCAATGGCTTTCATGAGTTCAGGCGAAACGCAAGCCAGATAAGTGAAGGTTCGAAGGTTTTGGTTAGACATCTTGAGAAGGTACACAATTGAGCTTATTTGTGCCTGGCTAACCATGTCGGCTTTTCCACCGTCCGTGATTGGCAAGCAATAGAGATCTTTGATGTTAATCTGAGGTATTGGGTGTTTCTCGAGGTCAGGAATGATTTCAGGGTCGAATCCTAGAATCTCCAAGGTTTCCAGATTCTTACAGGCAACCAATAATTGCAGAAGCTGCTCAAATTCACTCATCGCCTCCAACTTCAAATGGGTCAGCGAATGAGCGTGATGTCGTATTGTCAAATACAATAACTCGGGATTGTTTTCCAGATGAATGTCTATGGTGAGAACCTTGATACCACATTGGGACTTTATGAGTCGTAAAATTGTGTCCGGGCGGACGTAGCAGTCTGCGCTGATTAGAAGATTTTGAATGTTGTTGGCATGCTGTGAGATGGCGGTGAGAAGATCGTGAGTGGCTCGCGTGGGGAAACAGCAATAGTCGAACTTGAATGTCCTGAGATTGCGGATCGCTTGATGGAATCCGGCAAACTTGGTAATATCCAACAACTGAATAGTGTTAAACTCTTCTTTCCAATGGTAAGTCAACCCTCGGAGATAGCTACAGCTCCCAAAGATCAAATCACCGATAAATTGATAGGTAATCCGAGTTTTCTCTCCTAGGTTCCTGGTGCTGTTCAAAGATTGTAGCCACTTCTCGATGGCAAATCGGATTAGTTGAGATTCGAAATTACGAAGATACCTTGGATAATTAAACAGGGACGTGGTAGATTTATCGACATTAATTCCCTCCTCTCTCAGCCGCTGCTTTTCATTGGCCGGAAGACATGCAACATACGTTCGAATGATCAATGCGAATTTATCTTTGGTGACGACCTTAAAAGGATGAGCCCAGAGTAAGGAAATGACGAGACGACACCAATGACGGCAGACCCTAACTAACGTGTATAGTGACGCTTTGTCGTGTTTGAAATGCAAGAATATCTGTTCCAAACAGTCCGATGACAAGTGAATTAATTTACTACTGTTCATACTTCAACAACGTCCAATTAGTTAAGGTAAAGTCTGGGGTAATTATCAGATGGATCGGGTGAGAGGTGGAGGTACTATAATTTTTTTACAGGCGGGGAGAATAAAAAAGAATTTTTTTTTTTATTTGTTTGAATTAACACATGACTTATGCATTCAATCTTTATTGATATGATGTACATGATTTACTCGGTTTAATGCTAAAAAGGAATATAATCCCGTTCAGGACTACTTGTTTTAGAAGAATAATTGCTATTTCGAGGTCCATAGCGAAATGAAGTTAGATATTTACTGGTCAAGTGTTAAAGAAGACTGCTGAGCCACCTTACTAAAAACCAGCAGAATTAGGAAACATTGGTGCAACTCGAAAATCAACAAAACCGACAATAACCGTTCCTTTATGATATTTTCTCTTTGTTTTTTGTTTTTTTTTTTGTTTGTTCTCAGAGAGACGTTAATTAGTCTTTAATAGGCCACCTCTCTTTGTTATGGTCACGTGATTAGCATGGTTTGTTTGTGCGGAGATGCATGATTAGACGCGAATCTTGCAATGATTCATAAATAATGCAACCAAATTCAATCGATTTATGGGAAAAAAAATTTTTTTTTATTTGTATTGTTATAAAAAAAAGTCTTTCTCATAAATTTATATATATGTAAATAAAAAAACTTACACAATTAAAGAATTATTTCATTATATGCATCTATACAATTTGATTTGTGATTGATATCAAATAAATCATTTTAAATACATAAATATACTGTATACAGTATATCAGATTATGTATAATTTCAATAATTTATTAAATATTAAATATCTCTTGTTTGAAAATTCATTAAATTAATTTTAATGATTATAATATATTATAAAACAAAAAATTTTGTGATCTTAAATTTTTATTAATAATTATCTATTCAATAATTTTGATAAAATAAAAATTTTCAAGATTTATTTTTAAATATTCAAAATTCAATCAACAAATTTATTTCAAAAATTTTTTTTTTAATTTTAAAGACAAGTTCTTTATTAAATCTTAACTTAAAGTAATTGAATATTTAATATAATATTAATTATCATAAATATATTATATATATATATTTATTTAATCCACAATCATACCATGATGGCTTGTCTTTATTAAAAAATTGAAATAAATTTATAATATTTTACAGACTTTCACAAAGTGACTAGCTTATCTTTATACAAAAATACTTTAAGTCAAATTTTGAAAACAATATTAAACTTCTCTAATAGATTGGCAATAACTTCTATCTATTAGAATCATTACCAACAGTTTGTCACTGTTGATTATCTGAAAACCAATGAATTTCTAAGTTAAAAAGAAGAAAGGAAAAAACTAATTGGAGAAAGGGGACAATTCAAGACCCATAAAAAAAATCTAAAAATAAAAAAAAAAAAAATAATCACTTCTCAAAAAGAATCTACCTAATTGAAATAGTCTTCTTGCTTCACTTGAACCTCAAAAGAAATCTTCTTTTTCATCACTTGCAATATCAGACAAGTCAATCCAACTGGTTTTTCATTTAAGTGAGCATTAGATTGGAATATCTCAAGGAAAGTATTTAAACCTCAGTTTTTTTTCATTAAAGCTTTGTCATTACTTGAGGAACTTAGATAAAAGATGGGAGTTTGCAATCTATATTACTCATTACTTGATCTTTTGGTATCATAGAAGTTTTCATTAAGGGACTTAAACTTTTTGAGTGTAAATATTTTCAGAATCTTCTTTTCAATTATTAATAATATTATTAGAACACATGGATGTGACCAATAGGAGCTTGTTTACATTTTAAAAACTAATGTATTTCATGTCAACCAATTACCTTTGGTGAGAATTTATGCTACCCAAAATTCAAGATCAAACTGAGGTAGACAAAATTCTTCAGAAAACCATAAAAGCGATAGCTCTAAGAGGCATACAAGTGACTAAAAAAGGAAAAATAAGCCCTTCTATCATCAAAAATCTCTATATACCTTTCACTTCAAATGTTAGATAGGCCTTCAGGTATTTCATAGTCAGTTCTTTTTCCTTTGGGAACTTTCTTATCATTGGTATCAAAGGTATTACTTGATTTTTCTTGGTCACTAGAAGTCAAGTTTTTAAGTGAAGAGGATTGCAAACAAAAAGGAAAAGGATAGAAGTAACTTTTAAAGTCATATTTCAAGTTGTTTTAAAGAAAGTATTAAGACTTTTTAAGCAATGAAGCAAAAAATTTCTTGTGAATATCTTTTTTGTGTATAATCAGAGGATCAGTAAAAAGAGTTATATATTTAGCTATAATTTCTTTAAATAGTAAATATAATATATAATTAAAATTTGGTAAATACATATATAAATTTTGACAAAATTGAAATTTTGGTAAATATCTAATGATTTTTTGAGGAATATTTTAATAAAATATATAGTAAAAATGATACAAATATGACAAATAATATCGAATTATATAGTAGAAATTGATTGTTAATTTATTTATGTGAATTATATAGTAGAAATTGATTGATAATTTATTTATATCAAATTATATGCCAAATTATATGATAAAAATTGATTGCTGATTTATTTATGTCATTAATATGTCGAATTATTTATTTTTTTGATAAATGTTATATGAATGATATTATACTGAATAAATATTTTTTAACTAGTGATATAAATACTACCTTATCAAAAAACTATGTGATTTCTTCTTAATTTTTTTTAAATCAGTTTTATTAAGAGTAGTCTAGTTATCAAATCATTAAAATTTTTTTATCTTTAATTCAAATTTTAATCCTTCAGAGTGATTAGTAGATCTCTTCTTCCATCAAGATTTTCTAATTATTAAATCTATAAGTTAAGACATAGCTATATACTTGAAATTTTGAAATTAGATGAGATCTTCAATTATTTTTTCTTCAGCAACATGCAATCAATTTAGAAATCTACTTTTCTTATTACTAGTAAGTAATAATATAGTCCTATTAAAGATAATTCTACTCAATTTTGAATAATGATCTAATTATAATCTTTGTATAGACTGTCTTGTGTTACAAAAATCATGATTTTTAATATAAATTAATAAAAACTTTTGATTATCTTGATTTGTACCAGCCATATTCAGAAATATTGATTATACTGTATATAATTAGATCAATAGATGATTTGTCAGATTTTATTTGCTTTTTTAAATTAAAAAATCATATTAACCCTCTAAAGGATTTGAACTTACATCTTATAATCTGATCTATGAAGTACTAACTATTATATTATTGACCTATAAGTCTTTTATTAAATAAATATATATGACTAAAAATTAAATAATTAATACTAGTTATTAATTATTAGATAGTAATAACTCTTTCCGCTGATCCCTTACAACACACAAAAAAGATGTTCAAAAAAAGTTTTAGACTTTTCCACTAATAAAGTCTTATTACTTTCTCTAAACCAACTTGAAGAATATCTTCAAGAGTTCCTCTCAACTTCTATTTCTTGTTTATACTTCTTTTAAACAAAAACTTGACTTCTGGTAATCAAGAAAAATCAAGAAACACCTTTTTTACCAATGGCAAAAAAGTTCTAAAAGGAAGAAAAACCAACAGTAAAGTATGGAAAGCCTATCTTCTGAAGCAAAAGTGCAATTAGAGATTTTCTATAGTAGATGACAAGTGAACAAAAGCCTAAACTAAAAAATTTCCTTTCTACTGTTTCAACCCTCTTAGAGTTAATCATTTTTCAGAGTTTTTTGAGAATTTTGCTTACTCCAGCTTGACTCTAAATTTTGGAGTGACACAAAATTGATATAACTTTTGCTAAAAGTGATTGGTCGACATGAAACATGTTGATAGCAGAATGTAAACAATCTTCTATTGATTACATCACATATTTCGATGATGTCATTGGCAAAAGAAAGAGTGATCACTGTTACGGACTTCTCCACTTCTCCAAATGAAGTAAAGAAATCATGAGATTATTAAGATGGGCACTAAATTCCCTAGGTGGTAAAAGGATAATTATTTGTTCAAGCTGAGGCCATCAACTTCTTATTATTTCAGTCAGGCAAAGTATGCGAAGGAGGTTATTTCCTTATCCCGGTCAGGCTGTAAGACTGAAAAGCAGAGGAATATAAAACACTGCCCTTATCTAGGATTGAGAATGCATTTCTCCAGACATTGTGTAATGATATTATAATCGACGAGAATCCCTATACTGTTCGAAACCCTCCCATCATTGCAAGGCAAAAAGATTGTTGAGGAATCTGACTTTTTGGGTAATGGAAAATATACACTAGTAAAATTCCTTTAATTAGGCATGGCTGCTGAAAGATATCGGGAGTTACACAACAAGACTGAAAAGTCACATAAGAATCTGGAGTCTACCATTAGCCATTTTCTTCTATGCAGGTAGATATAAAATCAAGATTGAAAAAAAGGAAGTATTGAGCAAGATACTGGATTCGAGTAGGTGATAAGTACCTCAGATGTCACAAGAAAATAATCAAGAGCATGGATGGATAAGGTATAATTAATTATATACTGTATATGCTTGTCTATTAAATGTTTTATTCCTATTAGTACCTTAGTTTTCCTGAACTTTTGTTGAATTAATGTTTTTTGATAGTATTTTTTCCCTGAGCTATCATACCAGACTCCCAGAATTCTTACTTATACCCCTTGTGGACATCCTTTGATAGTTTGATCCTTTATTTTTATCTCCTTGTTTGAAATAATCATCTTTTTCATTGATAATTAGCAGCTGGAATTTCTGCAAATTGATTTTTATGTCATTTATTTTGTAAAACTTCTCTGCTTTCTTGATAATTTATTGTAACTCTTCTCTGTTGTC